GAGTGAATAGCAAGGGTCCTGCTGACTAGCTCCCGACCTCCCCCCTGCTGTGCTTGTATCACTGCCCCGCTCCTCTCGCAAATGGTTGAGCCTGTCCCTTGCCCTTCCCCCCCCAGCCACGGTGGGTGGTGGTGCGCTCCGGAAGCGCAGGGCAGCGGCGGCAGTAGCGGGTGTTCGCGCTCTTAGTCGGACCCGATTCTCAGCTGCGGCCGTTGGGTGAGGATGTGTGGTGCTCCGGTGGGGCCGGGGCCGGGGCCGGGTCGGGCCGGAGGAGAGGGGGAATCAGCCAGCCGGGGAGCCCAGGGGTCCGGTCGTAGAGCGCATGCGCGGGTGGCAGCCTCACGTCATCGTTGATATCAACTTCGGGGGGAAGTAAAATGGCCGCCCTGGGCCGGCCGTTGTGGCAGAGAGTGCTGGGGTACGCTGCGAAGTGCTCCCTCAGTCTTCTCTTCGGCAACTAAACACGCCTGGTTCCATCAGCTTGTCCTGGCAAGTCACGTCCCCCAGCCGTTTTCGTTTCCTTCCACGGTTCTGTCAAACTTGTCCATGTCCTTTCCGTAGCAGGGGGCACAAAACTGGACACAGGACTCCAGATGTAGCCTCACCAGTGCTGAATAGAGGTGAAGAGTCACTTCCCTGGCCCTGCTGGCAGCGTTCCTGCTAATGCAGCTGCTGCACTCCTCACCCCAGAAGAGTGCTGCTTGCAGGATGGTGGACTGTTGGCCACTTTCAGAACAAGGCAGAGTGAATGAAGTGTGTGGTCTTTGAAGGAAAAGCTTTTCGTGAGAAGTTTAGCCTCTGCATTTGTCAGTTTTGAGTCACTGCAGGCTAGGGACGGGAACTGCCTGCACCAGGCCCTGTCTTGGGATGCGCTTCAGTAGCGCCACCCGCAGGCTCTAGCCAGGCATTTCTCAACCCATGGGTCGTGACCCAAAAGTGGGTCACAAGAATATATAAAGGGGTCATGAACAAACTTTAAAAATGGTTTCTCTTTTAGAGGAGAAAAGCATAAGAACCTCTCCCCCCCCCCAACCCCCTTCCCCCACAGGCTGGCAGACTTCCAGCTTGCAAAGGGCTGCTTGGGGCCCCTCCTGCCTGACACACCCACCCCTGCCCCATGTATCCCCTGCCCCACACATTAGGGGGGCTGGGGGCAGCAGGTTGAGAGTGAGGGGCACTGGGTTGAGACCGGCCATTGATGTTTACAGATGGGTCCTGGTACAAAAAGGATTGAGAACCACTGCTCTAGCCCACTTTAGGAAGTAAAGGAGGAAGGGACATTAGAGGGAGAGTTTCTTGCACCAGCACAAGAAGGTCATACTGTTGTTTCTCATTGGACCGATGTATTGGTGCACCTCTTTATCGGATTGGCACCGATATAAAGAAAATTGACTGTATCGGAAATTAGCCTGATGTGGCCAATAAACGGCCTGTGCATGCACACAGCTCCAGCACAGCACATAGGCAGTGAGGAGCACAGCCTGACAGCTTGGAGAGCTGCATGTAGCTGGTAAGTCTGTTGTGGTGGGAGGGAAGGGGCATGGGGGGACAGATCAAGGCCCCTCCCATGAGAGAGGGAGTGGGGCAGGGGCTGGTACAGGCACTGCCTAGCTGCGGTGGGGAGGGGCAGGGCACAGGATGGAGCTGTGACTTGTCTGGGGGGGCGCAGGCTGCTGTGGGCTGGGGTTGGGGCTGCACTGGGCTCTTTCTTGCAGGGGCTGGGCCGGGGTGCAGTTGGGGCGGGTAGTGGTGGCACTGGGAGAGGGGTTGAAGGGGGCTATGCCCCCCCCTCCCCATAGTCCCCTCCTAGCGCTGCTGCCACCCACCCCAAGTAGAGCCTTGCCCAGCCCCTGCTGGGAAGAGCCTGGCGCAGCCCTGGCCCCAGCCCACAGCTGCAGCCTGCCCTTCCCCAAGCAGATCTGGGGAGCATATGCTGTCTATGCCCTCCCAGGGTGGACACAGCAGCGGGAGCCACCCCCCCACCCCCCAATGAGCTTCAGCTCTGTCCGACGCCCAGCCCCACCCCAGCTGGGCAGTGTCTACCCCAACCCCACTTCTTCCTTCACCTAAGGGGCCTCAATCTGCCCCCTCCTCTTCCACCACGACAGACTTACCAGCCGGCCACTGCTCTTCAAGTTGCTGTGCTGTGTATCAGAAATCAGATCAGTATTGGCCGATATGCCTTCTTAAAAATTGGCTATCAGTGTCGTCCCCCAAAATCTGTATCAGTGCACCCCTAGTTTCTCAGGATTGTGGTTGTACTTGGCGCATGGGCTCCTCACCCACTGAAACAAATCTAACACCCTAACCTAACCTGCTACAAGAGAAGCCAGAGAACCACAGCAGCCCATGTCTGCTTCTATGAAATGTGGTTACACTCCAGAGAGCCCAGGTAGAGGGAAGCAGACCTGCTACAGAGGAAGGCAAAAGCCCCCACAGTTGATGCCAACCTGGCTATAGGGAAATATTTCAAACTGAAGGGGGAGAAGACTGCCCCTTGCACACTCCCCTCTCCTGTTCTTCATTGCGGTTCTTCTTGCCTCTTGTGCTGGTTCGGAATAGCCCCTGCCAAGAACAGGAATTGTTACAACTGGAGCTGTTTGTCGTGCTAACTCCGTGCAGGGTATAATGTAAAAAAAACCTGAAACTGTTTGTTTCAGTTAGTGAGGAGCCCATGTGCCAGGTACAACTGCACAACGTTCTTGTGCCTGGTGCAGGAGACTCTCTCCCTAATCTCCCTTTCTCTTTGGCTTCTGAACTGAGCTAGAGCCTACCAGTGGAGCTAGTGAAGCACATACCAGCATGGGGCCTGGTGCAGTCAGTTCCTGCCTCTAGCCTGTAATGACTCAAAACTGATGAACCCCAGAGCTAAAATAATTGAAAGTAGTTTGTTTAAAGACCACATGTTTAATTCTGCATTAATCTGAAAGTGACCAAAGGGCATTGTCATACAAGCATTATTCCTCTGTCTTGGGTGAAGTAGTTTAACATTTCTAGAGGTCTGAAAGTTCATTTCCCTCAAATTGCCATCAAGGTTGGGTTGGTTAGTTTGAGAGAGGTCAAAGAGGGAGTGGTTCTTAAGTGGGTGTGTGGGTGTGTGTATTATTATATATGCGTGTGTCATGAAACCTGATTTTGCTTTAGAAAACAAAGTGCTGAGCATCCAGCAGCTCCCACTGAAGTTCAGTTTAGGATTGTTTTGTTTGTAGAATTAACTTGAACTCTCACTGGGATAGGATGGAGGTGAGAGGGTAGTACCACGTTCATAAACCTTTGATGCTTAGTACTTCTGTGAGCTTGGGGTTGAATGGGGCTGCAGACCAAAGCTGAGATGTTGTTGCTAGTTGTGCTGGTAACCAACCAACTTTGAAAGCTAAGCTAATGAAAGTCTGGCGGTCCTCAGTGCCACCCCACAAATGTCACATGCACATGAAAGGAATGGGGAAAAAGCCTAGACCTGCTTGATTTACTGCAGCCATGGGGTATTTATTCACAAGTCATAGCAAGATGCATGGTTGAATGCAGCACTAGAAAGGACACAAGTGAAGAGCATGGAAAGTGAATTAACTCAATTTACATCTTGTAGTATGGTTCAGATTCCAGGTGAGATCCGCCAGAGTTAATTATCCAGTGAAGACGTCAGCACTACTGCTTTGAACATTTTGCTTGGGAGACTAGTGAAAGCACTCGAAAGAGTGCTTTCCCATGTTGCTCAGATTGGTAACTGGTTTGTATTTAGGTCAGGGGTGTCAAACTCCTCTGGTCTCACAGGCTACATATGGGGAGCAGGCCTGGTCTGCAGGCTGGATAGGGTCCACAGACTGGGCTTGCAGTCCAGATCCAACATACAAGGCCAGTATGATTTGGATACTATGTACAGTGTGCTGCTTGCAGTTCACAAGTTGACTTCAGCCTGTGCACCTGTATGCTGTATGCACCAGCCTCACATGCAGCTCATAGGGCATGTCTGGGGTGGGCACAGGGTCAGTCTGGGGCATGTGCTGCACGTAGCACCTACACCATACTGGGCCCACAGACTGGCTCCAATCTGGACTAGTCCTGGCTCCAGTGTGGAGGGCCAGACTGGCATGGGCACTGCATGCAGTGCACGGCCCTGACCAGCCACACACTCTGGATTCAGCACATGCAGCTGGTCCAGATCCAGCATGCAGGGCTTGTCTGGTGCAAGCACCACATGCAGACATACCTTACTGACCCCTTGTGATGTGTGCATGCTGGCTGCAGCCCCTGCTGCATGCAGCCCATGCCAGATGGGCTCCACATGCCATATGCATGGGTGGTACTGGTGCATGCTGCATATGGTATCTGGGGTTGGTGTCAGACCCACACACAGCACTGTGGGCTCAATGATTGGCTCCTGAGCTGTATCTTTGACACCCCTGGTTTAGATGATTGTTTAATGTAGGAAGCTTCATTTTTTTTCTTGTATGCTAGACCTGCCTATAAGCAAGCAAGTTTTAAAATTATAAAACCAAATAGGTATCTGCCACACGTATTTTAGTTAATGGATCTATAATGTGCAGCTTCTACCAGGTGTATAATTGAAAAAATAATAGGCGAGAGAAGGAACAAAGATTGCTATCCAAGTCCAAAATATTAAATGCATAACACTTTCCAAGTATGAAATTCAGGTGCTTTCAAGTTTTCTTTGTGTGTGAGTTTCTCTTCTACTAGCTGGCTAACTGAAGTGCAAGTCTCCTGGTCTAATCACACAGAGCTTTTGGGGAAGCCTTGAAAAGATGAATGTTGCTTTGATGAATCTCAGGTCCATAGCAGTAGAGCTGTCTACCTACAGGTTAATGTATCAAGAATTGAAATCTCCAACTCATAAGTGTTTCCACAAAGGTTGAAATTGTTTAGGAGATTTCAGCCCCTGTGTCTCCAACAAGTACAACTTTGTTGTTTAAAAAAAGAAAAAGAAATATTTGATTGCAAATATTTCAAGGTCTGGCAGCTATCTGGCAAAGAAACCTTCTTGTTTCTTTTTGTCGTACAATCCCACCCTACCTTGACTTACGTTGCACATCAAACTTTAACTTGGCAATTACAGTTTTCAAGAATACTAGCGAAGGTCAGAAAAGTAAAGTGTAGGACTGAGATTCATTTCGTACTGTGGGGATCAAGTGTGATTCACTGTAACAGTGGCATGCATTATCTATTAAAATGTATATTAATTGCCAGACAATTTAACTAAGTATTTAAACTTGTAAGCTCTGTTTATGTATCTGAGTTTCTTTCCTGTCATTTGGATAACTGAGGTATAAGTTTCCCTCTTTAGTTATGCGATGCTTGGTCATGTACTTTGTCTTACATAATCAACAGATTTTGTACCACCAAACTGAAAAGTTCATAAAAGTACACTATTTCAAATTGTCATAGGGTTTGAAACCAGGGAGCTTCACTGTAACTACTGATCCTTGGGAGTGTTGTCTAATATTGGCATAGCACATTTAATAAACTTTGCTTGTGCACGTTGTGCAGTATATTTCTATTTATTTTTGTCTATTTGTTTTGTTCTTAAAGTTGTTACAAGGTTGTTAGGATGATAGTGAAATGTTATATAGTACAGGGGAAGGGGTTTAACCCTTTATCAGATCATTTCCAGTCTTGAGAATTCAGAAGATCTAATTATGTCAGCTTCTGTGTAAATCAAGCCTCCCTCATTTTTTTAAGCTAAAGTCTTTGAATAACTTTTTTGGTTGGGACCCTAGCTATCATTTTTATGTACTCATTTTTCTTTTCTGCTTTTCTACACTTAGTAGAGAATGGTGTATGTGGGACGAGTTAGGAAACACACCAGTAAGTTATCCATTTTCTAGGCTATATAATATGTAACTGTACATTTTACTACAACAAGTATTAAGTTTGTGCTTTAATCATTGTACTTATTTTCTCCCCTAGAATCCAGTAATCAACATGTCTAGCAAAAGAGCAAAGACAAAGACCGCCAAAAAGCGCCCTCAGCGCGCCACCTCCAATGTATTTGCAATGTTCGATCAGTCACAAATTCAGGAATTCAAAGAGGCCTTTAACATGATTGATCAGAACAGAGATGGCTTCGTTGACAAAGAAGACTTGCATGATATGCTTGCTTCCCTTGGTAATGTTCTCTGGTTATAAAATTGTTGCTTTATTAATAGGTGTCTCAAATTATTCTAGTTGAATAAATGTAAAAAAAAATCAAAAGCGAGAATTGTGAAAGGTATTTCAAATTACACAATATTGTGTAGGTTGACAAGTGCCTGCTGTGCTTTTTAAACTTAAAAAATAAATATTTTTTTACTTGTAGGGAAGAATCCAACTGATGAATACCTAGATGCCATGATGAATGAGGCTCCAGGCCCTATAAACTTCACTATGTTCCTTACAATGTTTGGAGAGAAGTTAAATGGCACAGATCCAGAAGATGTAATCAGAAATGCTTTTGCTTGTTTTGATGAAGAGGCAACTGGTAAGTGAACAAAATATCTGCTAGGATTGAACTGTAAAATCCTATAATCTAATCTTTTTGGATCACAGGCTTATTTCTGTTTTAAAAGCTGTGTTAGTCTGAAGTTAGGCAACAGGCAGGGTAGAAATGCACCGTATGGACAAGTTGGTCTATAAGGGGCATCTTAACACTTTAAAAAAAAGGCAAAAAAGCAAAATAATGTTTCAGTAAATCGTGCAACTTCTGGATGACAAGTAGTAATAAGTATTTCACTTATTAAATGAGCAGAAATGAAGATTGTCTCCCTTTGTGCTTATCCCTGAGCATTTCATACCAGCAGTAGTCTCCTGGAAGGGCCTGGAGAGTAATATATGTAACTAGGGAATGTGCCAGCTCCCCAGAGTGTAGTCAGAGATACAAACACAAGTACTTGAGGAGGAGGAATTTGGCACAACAGGAGGCTGTTCAGGCAAAACCTTTCAGAATTCAAAAGGTAACTGAAATGTGAAGCTTGCTGTCTGAGCATAATGGACCTGGCCCCCTCTCCACTGCCAAACATGCAAGCCTTCCACATAGCCTGGAACTTCTACAGTATGGGATTTCAAAGAATGAGATATTTGTTGAAACTGCTTAGGCTTTTGTTCATGCAGTCATCTAGACTACAGTAATCCCTTCTGTGGCCTAGGTGCCAGTCATGTTGTGCCATCTGATAATCCTCTCCCTGAGCTGTTGCTCTGAAATTATCCCCCACTTTGGGAATTCTGTGGCTTCTTAGCAAAGTGACAGATTCTTCAGCCACAGAATCAAAGTCCTAGGGTCTTGTTTGAGAGAATTAAAGAGGTCACACCTCTCAGAACTGTTTCAAAATTTCTGCCAACTCGGACAGAAATCCCTGCCTTGATTTGTGTTTGGTTTATCCTTTCGAAGTTGTTTATAAAGGTGGAAATTTACCTTTTTTTCTTTTATCTTTCCAAATGAAAGCTGCAGTGTTACTGTAATAACTGACAGTAAAGGATGACTTCACAGCAAATTCTGCAGCTGTGATATTGCACTAGTCAGAATATTGGCTTCACTAGTGAGAAAACAAAACCCTGTAGTTATTTGAAAAGAAAGGTCCAGACTTCGTTAGCATACTCTGTTCTGTACCACAGATGTTAACACACCTGTAAGCTTATCTCAAATTGTCTACTATAGTATTTCAGTCTCGTTTGTGGGTATGTACACTGAACGTTTCAAAAGGTATTGTCCCATTTCAAATAGCTATTTTGAACTTTTATATTTTTGGCATCTTCTAGAAGGAAGGATATCCCCTTCCTTCTACAGTCTTTTAAATAAACGGCCCTCTTTTGTAAGGTCTTTTCAAATAGCAATTTACTTCTTCCTTCCTTAGGGAAATATATTTGTTGTCTTCTATCCTGCCGTTTGTTTGGGCTAATTATTTTGTCTGCACAGGTAGTCTTGGCTTCATCATACCTGTAGCTCTCTGTGTTTGCTAAAAGAGGTGTATGAATTAGGATGGAAAGAAAAAGTGAGTTAGAACTGTTAGTGTAATGATGCTAGTGTTATGGCGCTTCCTAGGTTATTGTAGTTGAAATAAATCTCATCAGTTAGTTTGGAAGGTGATTCTAATTCAGACCATCTCTAATAACAAGACTGACTCTTGTTATCCTTAGATTTTCCTAGAGAAGTTTTTAATTTCATCTCCAGTTTCTATTATAATGATTTTACAGCTTCTAGCATTTTACACCATTGCCTAATTTTATACTGAAACATAAATTTAACTTTTAACCAGGAATAATCTGTTTAAACGTTATTATATCCATTTGCTTTTTACTGATTGACTGTAAATCTGTTCTTCATAGTATCTTCTTGCACATATAGACCACTGTTGCTTTTGCATTTTACTAATTTTATGAGTTCTGCATTTTCAAGGTGTTCTTCCAACTGTCTTGAGCCCTTTTAAGTGGTAATAGTAATCTCCATCTGCAGATAGCTGTTTTGAGCCTGATTTGGCACAGTGTTACTCTAGATTTTTATCAGTGTGGCTCCCTTAAAGTGACTAAGGCCAAGTTATGCAATTTAAGTGCATTTCTGATGTGAACTAGAACTGTCAGTGATGAATTCTCTCTCTTCAATTTAATACAACTTTTTCTCTTTCCCAAGCAGTTTGTATTCTTTATCTTATCTTTTCATTTATTTAAGCTATTGTAGCATAACTGTCAAGTTAATCTAGAGTATTTATGATTAGCACAGGGAACTATATTTAATTGCACTGGCCTACTGGTTTCTCAGCTGTCTCTGTTTTTTCATACATGCACACCCATCTTTTGTTCACTTCTGTGCGCCCCAGAATCAGTCTGAGTATTTTTTTTTTGGCTTGATTATTTATTCCATGTGTGTTAACAAGGCTTTTTTGGGTATTCTGTCAGTATGTTTTGAGTTCTGTTATCTCCGTAATATTCTTGATATCCCAGCACTGGGTACGGGGATACCATACCCAGTTAGCTCCGCAGGTTTGATTACAAACTGCCTACCCACTTGCAGTTGGTTTGAAGTGTTGTAGCCATGGTGACCCAGAAAATAAGCAAGACACATGGGTTTTGCGGTGATATCTTTTTTACTGGCCCAGCTGTTACATATGTACTGGACGTGCCTACAGGAGATATTTACTGCAGTTGCCTAATTAGCTCCGCAGTAAACGTCTCAGAATTTACACATGCAGCCCTATTAGGCCACAGGAAACAAATATACTCTGCGGTAGGATAGTACTTATAAATGTATTTAGAAGTACTGTTCTGCTGCGGAATTTTTTACTCCACAGCAGCACACTTGTAGATGTTGACAAGGCTGACTGGGGCTGAATGGTGCTTCACTGTGGGGGCTGCCTGCTGGAGTACCCTCGTGCCCCAGCCAGCTCCTCTGCAACATGTTGAGTTGAGCAACCTCAGGCTGGCAGGCTGACTCCTCTGCGAGCTGAGGCTGCTCTAACTTGGCTCTACATGCCATGGTCCTAGGTACGAATTCAAATGGCACACCTGAGAGCAATAAACTCCAATATGGTATGCACTGGAGTTCATTGCTATATATTGATTGTATGTGTAGAGGTGCCCACTGAGGCACAGGCAGACAAAACTCCTACCAGCAAGAAGTTGAGCTTTTCTTGAATGCTAATCCCTATACCTTTTTCTGAAATGGACTTATCTTTATAAACTTAGAACAGATGGTTGTCTTCACTTTTTGAGGTGCTCAGTGCAATACTGTGGTCCTTCCCTAACCCTGTTAAGGTGGTGTTCTTCTGCTTTTATGCAAGAAACTGAGACGCTTTGATTTTTTTTTTCTTTTGGGTAAGCAATGAAGGCCTCGTGTAAGTGGAGAAATAACAGCCTGTTAATTGGCACATATAATGCATCTGAATTTAGATTAAACCCCATAACCGTTTTTTACACATGCTAGTTGTTTTGCTCCTCGTATGGTTTTCTGTCCTTTAGTCTCCTCCAAACTTTGCTTGCTGAGGTTGAGTCCATTTTTAAAATGGAATCTATTTGATTGAGTTTTGGTTGTTTCTACAGTCAGTTTGGCATCTATTTGTACGTTATATTCTCTGAACTTCTTTGGAATCATTTGGCAGCCAGTTGCTCTCATCTATTTCAGTTAAATTAACAGAATTTTCTATTCAGGATCCAAAACCTTGACTTCGCATTTTTGTACTTCTGTTAACAATTTCCTCTGTTCTTCTGTTTATCCCTTTTTATCACAAGATAAATAGCTATAGTTCTCCCATCTTCTCTGGCTTCCCTTCCATTCTATTTTCCTTCTTTCTTCCTCCTGAGTTAACTTGCCCAGTCCTGTCTAAAAGTCTTTTTTCAGTTATAAACCCTCTTCCTAGGCACATGCCATTGATTTCCTCTATATTCAAATAAATACCCAGTAGTAACAGAATGGGTATCAGTTCCCAGAGGAAACTGCCTTATTCAAGATAAAACATATAGTAGTAAAGTTGAGACAAATATGATCCTAAAAGCAAGTGACTCTATTTCTGTCTTTACAACTTGCTTGTTTTTCCTTTTAATTCTGTTTAAGGTACTTAACCACCTTTTAGTAATGCAGTATATCTCTGTAAATGGTCTTCTTTAGGAATCTGTGTAAATTGCATCAGAGTAAGCTTTCTTCCCAGTGAATTTGAACCTTTTGTAACACCCTAGAAATTTATTCTGGCTTCTTAGTGTAAATGTGTGTCTATAGCAGTTATTATGGCATACAATATCTTTAATATAACTGTGAACCCCCTCACTGTTGACACTTTTGCTTTGGAAGATTTGCTGCAAACAAATCTTCTTAGTTGATTCCCTTTCTATATTACATTCTAGGGTTTATTCAAGAAGATTACCTGAGAGAGTTGCTGACAACAATGGGAGACAGATTTACAGATGAAGAAGTTGATGAGCTGTACAGAGAGGCACCAGTAGACAAAAAGGGCAATTTCAATTACATCGAATTCACACGCATCCTTAAACATGGAGCAAAAGACAAAGATGACTGAACAAAACTCCAGACACCTGCAGCTAGATAACTTTGTTTTCCACTCATGTTTATTTCTCAGGGTATTTTTCCTGGTAGAATCTGTTGCATGCCTTTAGCTTTACAGCTGTTAACGCTTCTTCATATATTTATGGATTACAGACCATTTGGGCAAACTTGCATCAATATAATCATACTGGAAATGGGAGGTCTGTATTGTAACAATACAGATTTGGTAATAAAAAATAAGTGACTGTGAAGGCCCAGGAAAAAATTGCAATGTTTTTAGTTTTAGGTGGATTTTTACATTTTTTTATAACGTCATTTTCAAATAAAGATTGCTATTTAAGTAAAGTAGCTCATTTAAAATTTTTTTACTTGCAAAGAAGGAAAGGTTTCTCCCACCTTATCTAAATAATTTCTCCAAACAGAAGCAGTCAGGACATCTACTATTGACCTCTGTTTCAGCTCTAAAATACTAAGCGGTGATTTTATGACAATAATGGACACTCTTTGTTTAGTCTGTGCTGATCTTGTATGTACTGTGAAGTTACAGTTTTAGATAACATTGAGAAAGTTCCTATATTTCAGTCTCTGGTTCAAAGTAAATGAACAGTTCTGGTTTTAAAAGTCAGATTTGTCACAAATTATGGGACAAAAAATCCTAAGAATTGAGGTGATGCATCATAACTTTAACTCTTCCATTTCTCAAGTGATTTATTGGGTCATTAATTTTACACAGTTAATTAGGGTTTTTGTTTGTTTGCTTTTAAAGTAACATCCTTGCTTTTCTAAATGAGAAAATTATTTAATGGTGAATGACAGGAGACCTGCTACTTAGACCTCAGATACAGTGGGCGCATCTAAACAAGACACTACTGCGCAGTGGTTGCTGTGCATTTATTTAGTACTTGTATAAGCAGTGTACTAAATAAAAGTGCAGTACTAAATAAACGTGCGGTAGTGCCAGCAAATGCCTTTTAAGTGACACTACTGTGCAGTAGCATTTTGTCGTGGCTTTTGCTATGCAAGGCTACTACTGCACAGTCAGTGTTTTGTGTAGACGTGCCCAGTATCTCTCAGGTACAGAGCTGCAGAACTACTAGATGTTTTCACTATTGATAGAATTTTCCTTTTTTTTTCTTTTCTCCTCTTTCCATTATCTCAAAACAAAGTGGGTAAGGAACTGAAGGGCAAAATTCTGGATGAATGATGTTTTGACAGTATTAGAGGTTTGAGGTCTTTTTTTTAAAGTATAATTTCTGCCTCTAACTTGAAACACATTAATCTCGCTTTTATTACAAAACAATTGTTAGCTTATATTTTGAAGGAGGACATACTCTTGGGGGGAAAAAAACCCAAAAGCTAACCTTATGGTAAAAATGACATGATTTTCACAGATTCATAGCTTTGTTTGTGATCATTGATCTTCTGTAAACAGTAACAATCTGAATTTGAGATGGAATCTTTGTGGGTCAAAAATTTATATTAAAAGTTCTTCAAATGTCAACTAAAAAAATTGCTTGGTTAAACTTGACTCTATTTTTAAAAACATTTCTGAGACATCTGCTTTCTTAAATACTTAGCCAACTTCTTTGTCCAAAGTAAGTTAATAAAACAGTTGGTCTGCTGTGCTTATATAGAAATGTTTGTTCCTGTGCCATGTTGAAAGATATATTGCATCTGTAATCAATAATCCTGTCTGCTTAAAATGATGCCCCAACTTGCGTGCAATGATTTCCACTTATTTTTTTTTCTTAGCACAGCTGAAAAGAAACTTATTCCTAACTAGATATAGCTAGGCTGGCAAAACCCCCTATTGTCTATGGTTTTACTAGTTGAAAGGATATTCACTCAGAAGGAACTGATTTAAGCTATTCTAGTCAGAATAAGCTAAATCTCCACTGGGGGATGGCTACTAGAGCTATGCTGGCAAACAAAGGCAAGGCCTTAGACCAGGGGTGGCCAACATGCAGCATGGTTTTTTTGTTTTTTATTAATATATTTTGTGTTCCAGGTGAAATCAGTTCCAAATCATATTGATTGAGCAGAACTCAGTCATTCCAAAAACCACATTGATTGAGCAGGCAGAACTCAATCATTCTAAACACCATGTATGGTGCTACAACTGGTAAGCATCCTGTGTCCCAGGCTCTCATCCTGGGACTTCAGATACTCCCAGATCTATTGGTAGGCATCCTATGCGCAGGCCCAATCCTAGAGGTCTTGGGATTTGGATGCCCCCACTTGATCTTAGCCCACAAGAGACCGAGACACTTGATCTGAGCCAAAAAGCCAAGAAGCATGTGGCATGGGTAGCAGCTGTACGTGCTGCCTGAGCCCCAGGCACTTGGTAAGGGGAGGCACTGGAAGTGGGGGGAAAGGAAGGGGGTAGGGGGACAGTGGCCTAACCTCAAACCAGAGTGGGGGCAGAATGCTACTGTGAAAGGAGGTGTCAGGTGTCACTGCCAAGAGTTAACCCTTCCCTAATATATATTAGAAATGCTTCATAGAGAAGTAACTGGAGTAAGTACTCTTGAGAAATTTCTGCTCTATTGTTTTTATTGGTTCTATAGATGTTTCTTTAAGGAAACAGTACTCATTGTAACAAAAGCTTTTTCAAACTAGTCCAGTAAAGCCTAAGGGAAAAGAAAGAGGAATACAGGCTGTGGAAACGGGGTAGCTACCAAGGAGGAGTATACCTCCCTGGCTCACATTTGCAGGGAAGCAGGAAGGCCAAAGGAGGATTAGAACTTAGGTGACAAAAATTATGGACAACAAAAAGTCCGGTTGTATTGGGAGCAAAAGGAATGTGCAGGATAGCATAGGACCCCTACAGGACAAACTAGGGAAATTGGTGAGCGGGGGTGTGGAGCGGAGCTGAGCTCTTGAATGAGTTCTTTGCATCTGTATTCCTAGACAGAGACCAAGACACATCTCCCAATTGGACCGTAGATAGACACAGGAGGGACACCAGCCCACCAACTGTTTGCACAGGCTTAGTAAAGGGGCACTTGGAGGTGCTGGATGTGTTCAAATCAGTGGGCTTGGATAAACTTCATCCAAGGGTGCTGAAGGAATTGGCCAGTGTCAGAGCAGCTGGCACGGCTCTTTGAGCATTCGTGGTGCTCCGGTCATGTCCCAGAGGACTGGAAAAGGGCCAATGTGGTCCCTATTTTCAAGAAGGGGTGGAGGGACAAATCGGGAAACTATAGGCCAGTTAGTCTCACTTCTATCCTTGGGAAAACAGTGGAAAAAATCATTAAGGATCACATTTGTGGGAGTCCAGCAGGGGAAATAATGCTGAAAGGAAATCCAGCATGGGTTCATTGCAGGTAGATCCTGCATGACTAACCTTGTTTCTTTTTATGACCAGGTCACAAAATGCTTAGATGCAGGAGTCGAGGTAGATGTCATCTACCTAGACTTTAAGAAGGCTTTTGATACGGTATCGCGTTTTGTCCTTGTAAATAAACTGACAGGCTGTGATGGAGATGATTACAGTCAGGTAGGTGGTAAATTGGCTTAGAGGTTGCACCCAGAGAGTGGTGGTGTATGAGTCGATATCGACCTGGAAAGATGCAGGCAGTAAAGTCCTGCAAGGCTCAATCCTTGGACCGGTGCTATTTAATGACTTCATCAGTGACTTGGATGAGGGTATAGAGAAAACCCTGTCCAAGGTTGCAGATTATACCAATTATGGGACAAAGTTTACACGCCAGAGGATAGGGAATGGATCCAGGAGGATCTGGATAGTTTGGAAAAATGGGCAAAACAAAATAGGATGCAGTTCAACAAAGACAAGTGCAAAGTACTGCACCTGGGCAAAAAGAACCACCAACACACTTAGAGTCTGGGGATCACTGTAGCTGACTCCAAGATGAACATGAGTCGGCAATGTGATGAAATGATCAACACGGCTAACCGCACTTTATCATGCATTAACATACATGATGAACAGGTCCAGGGAGGTGATGCTTCCCCTTTATGCGGGACTGGTCAGGTTGCAGTTAGAGTACTGCATCCAGTTTTGGGTGCCGCATTTCAAGAGGGATGTGGAGAATCTTGAGAGGGTTCAGAGGAGGGCCACTTGTATGGTCAGAGGCCTGCAGGCAAGGCCCTACAAGGAGAGACTGAGGGACCTAGATCTCTTCAGCCTTTCCAAGAGAAGGCTGAGAGGTGATCTTGTGACTGCCTATAAATTCATCAGGGGAGGGTAGCAGGGAATAGGAGATGCTCTATTTACTAGGGCATCCCTTGGAGTAACTAGGAACAATGGCCACACATTGATGGAGAGCAGACTTAGGTTGGACATTCAAAAGAACTTCACATTAAGGGTTGCTGGAATCTGGAATGGGCTTCCAAGGCAGGTGGTGATCTCCTCTACCTTGGGGATCTTCACAAGGAGAATGAACAAGCACCTAGCTGTCATCATCTGACCCCAGTGCTCTTTCCTGCCCAGGACAGGAGGTCGGACTCGATGACCTACTGAGGTCTCTTCTGACCCTAACATCTATGAATCTATGAAATACTTTTTAAGTGCAACTGCTATATAGCATTTACCAAAGGAAACGTGGTGCTCCCCATGGCAGAAAATACTTTGCTTCCATAGTTAGTTTCATCTTTCAGATTGTTTTAATAGTACCTCCCCAGCTGCATCACGGCCCTATGTGGTTTCCCTGGCACTACTGCTTCTGGGAGCACAAGTAGTGTATGCTGGCTGCTGTTCTACTAGTATGAATCGACTCCTGGGAGGACTAGTGATAATAGGTGGTTAGTCTTAATTCTCCATAATAGATGGCTAGTTTTAATTATCCTACAAATAGATAGTACAGTACTGCTTGAGCTGCAACAGAAGGATAATACTTCAAAACCCACAATATTTATACAGTTAAAAGTGCACAGTGGCACAGTCCTGTTCTTAAATGTCTCCATTTGACTTGGTATCAGTTGTGAACATGTGCAGTAGAATTGCTTTAGTCTTCTCTAGTAGTAAAAAACATTAATCTGGTTAGGCAGTTTCCCTGGATTCCTTACTTGGACATAGGTTTCTGAAGTCTAAGCTATAGATGTGGGTGTTTTTTTTGTTTTTGTTTTTAACTTCACTATTGCTTTATTTCAGCATAATTTAGTTTTTGTGGCTGAAAATACATGCACCATTTTTTTTAAGGAAGATGTTAGAAACGTGGAAAAAATGGAAAGAAAGTGAATGTTAGAGTGACTGCTAATTGAAAAACTGGACTGTTTCTAATGGGGGCAATATTATCTGAATTTTTAATCTGACTTGATGCAGAAGATGTATACAATACCACTACCCCTGTTGAATTTCTAAAGTAATATAAAAATACTTAAACTTAGGTTTTCAACTTGTGAACAATTTTTAAAACAATCACTAGGTGGCATTATTCCTATTACTAATTTAGCCATGAAACATATATAGTTGTACAATAGTCCTTCTGTTTCTTTTTAAATACCAAAAACATGCTTTGTACTGTACACAGAGGAAGCTGTGGTCTCTTCCCCAAGGAACTTCCACCATAATTAAAACAACACTAAAGCCATCAGGATTTTTTCAGATTATAGTTTATATGTATGCTGAATTTTGGCTTTTTGTAAAGATTACTCATCAGGGGGGACAAGCAAAAGTGAAAGATGGTTCAAGTGTGTTTATTTATGTTCAGCAAAACCAAGATTTTTCAAAGATATTTCGGTGCATAAAGATGCATGGAGGTGCATATTAAGATTTTTTAAAACATACTTTTCGGTTAGATGCTTTGAAAATCCCAAATACATATTTGCTTCTTCAGGTGCCTAAATACCTTAACAATATTGTCCTTTATCCTTATCTATCCCTTCAAATAACTATGC